GCAAACCTGTGATTTTTTTTTACAATATTATAGTTTAAAGATCCTGTAACACATTTTTTACGGTTTTATATCATAAATATAATGCTCAAATGAAGATTGATCAATATTGTAAGTTCTAAAAAGCATTATTTGTAAAGATATTACAGAATTTACATTTTCATGTTAATTAAGGGAGGTAATTATAAATTTATGTTCTATAAAATCTAGGAAGAAATGAATGCATATATAGATTACATAAAATGTGGACAAATATTTGCAGTACATGTTTACACATTCTTTGATGTTTGAAAATTGTTTTAGAAGCATAATTATATACATACATAAAATTTTACTTAAAGTGACATTATGCCCATCCAAGGGTATATAGTGAGTGAATGGGTGAAGATCAAAATATGTTTTCATTTTGCCATAATCTCTTTTAATTTAATAATTAAGTTCACATAAAAAATAGATAACACACAGATCCAAATGAAATTTCTGTAAATACCCGTTAGAATTTACGTATAACGCTTAGTTTATAAAAAGAGTGGGACAGTCTTTTAAAATTTTAGGTAGATTTATAATTTTATCCTAAACATTTGCCAATATCAACTGTTGGTCAAACTCCATTTTGACAGTCAATCTTTGTTTGTTTTTGGGTTTTACGTCACATGGACACAGTATAGGTCATATCGCGACGTTCCAGCTTTACTGGTGGAGGAAGACCTCAGGTGCCCTTCCGTGCATTATTTCAGGCACGAACGGGCACCTGAGTAGAACCACCGACGTTCCGTAAGCTAGCTGGATAGCTTCCTCACATGAAAGAATCCAAAGTCCCTGTCGGGATTCGAACCCATAGCGGTGAGGGGCAAGTGGTTTAATGTCAACAACCTTAACCACTCGGCCACAGACGCCCCGTAGTCAATCTTTAGAAATATAAAGCAAATTCAGCTCAACTTCACTATGAAAATATGAGCATAATGTCACTTTAAGTTGGGTAACAGGATCTTTTTAAAGATCAATAAAATTGTAAATGCAAAAGAAAAATTAATTTTTTGATTAGTAACAATTTGCTGAATGTTCAATATCCTATAATAAACTGTTATATTAACTTTTTCCCTAATAAAGATGTGTTTTGAATGCTTTTTGCCCACCCCCCCCCCCCCACTTGAGGCCTCAAACAGTCAAAAATGCCCTGTTTAGGCCCCAAACCACTGTTTTTCGTTAGAGAAATCTTGTTAAAAAAAGTGATCACCTTTTTGGCGCGGCTCCCCATCAAAATGATCCATCAAGGGGTTGCCAGAAGGGGGATGAGATCCACTCTACAAAGTTTCATGCAAAATATTAAACCTCTAGCCGTTGTCAATTTAGAGAAAAAAAATAGTTGTAAGTTTTTACTATATACATAGAAGGAAAACCTATGACTCCCCAGGGCAAGGCCAATTTTGACACTAGGGGCAAATTTGAAAACTTTGGTAGAACAAAGTCAAAGTCCTAAGCCTTGTACCTATAAAAAAGGAAAACATGACCCCCAAGGGTGGGGCTAATTTTGATACTAGTAGCAAAATTTGAATAACTTTGGTAGAAGACCTATAGATGATATCATATACCAAATATCAAAGCCCTAAGTTGTACCTTCAGCCAAGAAGATTTTTAATTTTTTATAGATTTACATAGTACAAGAGGGCCATCAATGGCCCCCTGGGGCGGGACCAATTTTAACTTTAGGGCCCTTATTTGAACAAACTTGGTAGACACCCATTAGAAGATGTTTTAATGCTAATTATTTTAGCTATGGCTCTTTGGGTTTTTAAAAAAAAAGATTTTGTTTTAAGTTTTTAATATATACACAACATGGCCATTCCCCGCCGAATGTGTTTGCTCACTGGAAGAATGTATATGTAGTAGAGCAGAATATTTCAATTTTAAGAGGTAAAAGAAAACTAATGGCTGAAGTGATTACAGATTTGAAACCTATGTGAATACTGATGGCTTAAAATAACAAAGGGCAATAACTGAAAAATAATGCAGGGTAGGTTATCATTCTTGTGTGCTGCACCCCTCCTCAGCAAAATCTATCGTACTATGAAGTTTCAAGTTAATACCTCAAATACTTTTTGAGATAAGCTCCGGACAAAATAGTATGAAAAAGAACAAAGGGCAATAACTCAAAAATTATGAAATGTAGAGTTATCATTCTTGTGCATTGCACACTTCCTGAGTGAGATCTATGCACCAATGAAGTTTCATGTTGATATCTCAATGGCCTTTTGAGTTATGCTCTGGACAAAAATTAATTTTGAAAAATAACAAAGGGCAATAAATTATGCAGGGTAGACTTATCATTCTTGTGCACTGCACTCCTCCTCAATGAGATCCATCCACCTATGAAGTTTCAAGTTGATACCTCAAATACTTTTTGAGATATGCTCCGGACAAAAAAGTATGAAAAAGAAAGGGCAATAACTCAAAAATTGTATAGGGAAGAGTTTTTTTTCTTGTGCACAGCATTCCTCCTAAATAAGATCTATCCACCTATGACATTTCATGTTGACATCTCAAACATTTTTGAGTTATGCTCCACTCAGGTGAAATATTAAGTATGAAAAATAAAAAAGGGAAATAACTAAAAAATTAAGAACGATAGAGTTATCATTCTTGTGCACTGCACAACTCCTGAGTGAGATCTATGCACCTACGAAGTTTCATGTTGATATCTCAAAGGCTTTTTGAGTCATGCTTTGGACAAAAATTAATTTTGAACAAGATTGCATTTGTAAAAAATGCCATGCCACCGCATAAATACAACACTAAATAGTAATGTAGGAACGCAATTTTTTTTTGCTTCTATACAGATTGCCATAATGTATAGATCACTTACCTATCTGATATTATCAGATTAGTACCTTCAGAAAATATGATTTTTAATTTTTTACTTTATGACATAGTGACTGAAAATCATGATCCCAAGAGGGGCGAATTTTGACCCCAGGGCTTTAATTTGAATAATCTTGCTAGAGGTTCACTACACAATATTTAATGCAAAATGTTTCACCTCTAGCCTTTGTCAATTCGAGAAGATGATTTTTTAAAGTTTTTACTATCTACATGTATGTAATGACTCCCGGGGCGGGGCTAGTTTTGACACTAGAGGCAAAATTTGAACAACTTTGGTAGAGTACCTATAGATGATATCATATACTAAATATCAAAGCTCTAAGCCTTGTACCTTCAGACAATAAGATTTTTTAATTTTTTTACTAATTGTACATAGTGAAAATCAATGACCCCCAGGGGTGGGCCAATTTCGACCCCAGGGCTATAATTTGTATAATCTTGCTAGAGGTTCACTTCGCAATGCCTTATGCAAAATATCTAACCTCTAGCCTTTGTCAATTTAGAGAAGATGATTTTTTAAGTTTTTACTATAATACATATGAGAAAAACCTATGACCCCCGGGGCAGGGATAATTTTGACACTACAGGCAAAATTTGAACAAATTTGGTAGACTACCTATAGATGATATCATATAACAAATATTAAAGCTCTAAGCCTTGTACCTTCAGACAATAAGATTTTTTGATTTTTTACAATATGTACATATGGAAAATCAATGACCCCCAGGGCGAGGCCAATTTTGACCCCAGGGCTATAATTTGTACAGTCTTGCTAAAGGTTCACTACACAATGTTTCATGCAAAATATCTAACCTCTAGCCTTTGTGAATTAAAAGAAGATGATTTTTTAAGTTTTTACTATATACATATAAGAAAAACCTATGACCCCCGGGGTGGGGCTGATTTTGACACTAGAGGCAAAATTTGAACAACTTTGGTAGAGTACCTATAGATAATAACACATACCAAATATCAAACCTCTAAACCTGGTACCTTCAGACAAGAAGGTATTTTAAGTTTTTACTATATGTACATAAAGTGAAAATCAATGACCCCCGGGGCCGGGCCGATTTGGACCCCAGGGCTATAATTTGAACAATCTTAGTAGGCATCTACCAGACAATGCCTTATGCAAAATATCTAAGCTCTAGGCCTTTTGGGTCTTTACAAGAAGATTTTTTAAATTTATTCTTATAACTCCTTTTGGTTGCCATGGCAACCAGATTTCTGCATGGAATGAAATTCTTTGAACAACTTTGGAAGCCCTTCACCCAAGGATCAATCCTGCCAAGTTTGGTTGAAATTGGACTGGTGGTTTTTCACAAGAAGATTTTTTAAGTTCACTATATAATCTATATAACACACACACACACACACACACACACACACACGCACACACAAACAAACACACACACAGGTGAATCGCTATATACCACCGCATCGCAGATGCTGCGGTGGCATAAAAATAACAAAGGGCAATAACTAAAAAATATGCAGGGTAGAGTTATCATTCTTGTGCACTGCACTCCTCCTCAATGAGGTGTATCCACCTATGAAGTTTTAAGTTGATACCTCAAATACTTTTTGAGATATGCTCCAGACAAAAATGTCGGACAGAAGGACGGAGACTATTTCTATAGCGGCGGGGGATAACAAACTTGGTAGAAACCCACTAGAAGATGTTTCAGGCTTATTATTTAAGCTCTGGCTATTTGTTGTTCTTTTTAAAGTTTTTACTAAACACAAATAAGGAAAATCTACATCCCCCCCATGCTTTTATTTGAACAAATTTGGTAGACACTGACTAGACAATGTGTCATGCCAAATATTTAAGCTCTGACTCTTTCTGTTTTTTAAAAGAAGACTTTTTAAGTTTTTTCTTTCGGTTGTTCTGTATGGAATAACATTTTTTTAAGTTGACTACCAAAGGAACATTCCTATGAAATTTGGATGATATTGGCTTAGTGGTTTATGAGGGGATGTCGTTGAAAGTAAAAGTTTACGGACAGCCGGAGGCCAGATGAAAAAGCAATCACAAAAGCTCACAATGTCACTTTGTGACAGGTGAGCTTATAATTGGGGGTAACACATTGTCTTACAACATTTTATTTAACTATTCTCACCTTCTCTCCAGTATTTCAGGATCTGTGATTCTGGTGTTGGTCATATGTGTATGAACTCCACTTCTCCCATCCCAAGTGGGTCCCTTTAAAATATTTAGTTTAATTAATTTAAACAGGAGCCTTAAAGGTCACATAAGTTATGATTCTTCAGCAGATTATATATGTTTTTTTGTTTTTTTTTGCATAAATAACTTTAAAACATTGATTAAAAATATCAAACATCACATATTTTTTTTAATTTCAATACAATGTTTTTATATTATATTGTGCAACATAAATCCTAATAACAAAAAGGTTATGTATTCCAAAGTGTTATTGAGAACTTCCTACTTTTTATAACTAGAGCTATCAATAAAGGTGATTAATACCCCCTCCAGCAAACATGACCTTTTGGAAAGGTAAGTGGTCTGAAGCAAAATTTGAACTCAACCTATAATTCATGAAGTATCAACTGTGTAAACTAATTCTTAAATAATGTTACCGTCAAGAAACCATTTTTCTATTTTTAGTAACATTGACCCTTGATCCCTGGGGGTTAAAAAGCAAACTGAGTTGGGGGGGTTTCATATAAGCTTGCTAAATAACAAATTTTGTTACAATATCTCATGCCTTACTGTAGTTAAGAGTCCGGACAACTATTTTTCTATTTTTAGTAGGATACATTTATAAGTTGACATGTATACAGGCGGTCCAAAAGCAATGACAACCGGGTTTCTACATAAGAATGCTATATACCAAGTTTGATTACAATATTTCATTCCAAACTGTAAGTTATAGTCCGGCAACCATGAAGAAGACCGAGCAACAAGCTGACTGCTAGAAACCCCCTTAAACTTCGTTTGTGGGGGTATAATAATACAAACACCTTATCGCAATGTAGTAATAAAAGAGCAAATTGTCTTAAAATATATTTACAATATACACCAAAGTTAGCCCCACCCTGGGACCTAAACCCAGGGGCCATAGATTTCACAATTGTGTAAGAGGAAGTCTTCCTCATCATAACTATGTACTTAATTTATCAGCTTTATACCTAGGAGCAGAGGAGACGATTGTAAAAGAATTAATGTATTTTCACTAAATAATCATTAGAGCCCCCCACTTTCAAACCTAAACAAGAGGGCCATGATGGCCCTAGATCGCTCACCTGACCCATCAAACTCATCCAAACAATTACCTAGACAAGCATTCTGACCAAGTTTCATGACAGGTGAGTCAAAAATGTGACCACTACAGTGTTAACAAGGATTATCCATATTTGAGCAGTGTGACCTAGTTTTTCACCCAGGTGACCTATATTCAAACTTGACCTAGAAATCATCAAAACAAAATTTCAGACCAATTTCCAGGATACTTGGATCAAAACAGTAGCAACTAGTGTGTTAACAAGATTTTTCTATTTCACATGCGATTTCGAACTCATCCGAGCAATTACCTAGACAAGCATCCTGACCAAGTTTGATGATAATTGAGTCAAAAATGTGACCACTAGAGTGTTAACAAGGTTTTTCCATATTTGGGCGGTGTGACCTAGTTTTTCATCCGAGATGACCCATGTTCGAACTTGACTTAGAAATCATCAAAACAAACTTTCAGACCAATTTACAGGATATTTGAATCAAAACAGTAGCCACTAGAGTGTTAACAAGATTTTTCTATTTTTAGCTCCTGTGACCTAGTTTTTCATCCGAGATGACCCATGTTCGAACTAATCAGAGCAATTACCTAGACAAGTTTCCTGACCAAGTTTGATGACAACTGAGTCAAAATTGTGACCACTAGAGTGTTAACAAGATTTTTCTATTTTTAGCTCCGGTGACCTAGTTTTTCATCCGAGATGACCCATGTTCGAACTCATCGGAGCTATCACTTAGACAAGCATCCTGACTAAATGTGGACGGACAACGGACAATCATCGATCCTAAAAGCTCACCCTGAGCATGCTCAGGTGAGCTAAAAACAACAAGAGCCATGTCAACATGGCCATCTCTCGCTGAATGTGTTTGCTCATTGGAAGAATATATATGTAGTAGAGCAGAATAATTCAATTTTAAGAGGTCTTTTAGTAATGAAAACTGATGGCTGAAGTGATTACAGATTTGAAACCTATGTGAATATTGATGGCTGAAAATAACAAAGGGCAATATCTGAAACATAATGCAGGGTAGGTCATCATTCTTGTATGCTGCACTCCTCCTCAATGAGATATATACACCTATGAAGTTTCAAGTTGATATCTCAAAGGGTTTTTATCCCCCGCCGATAAATCGGGGGATATTGTTTTGGCGTTGTCAGTCCGTCCGTCTTTCCGTCCGTCCGAATTTCGTTTCCGGACTAGTTCTCTGCAACTACTGGCTGGAATTCAACGAAACTTTATGGAAATCATCAATATCAAAAGGAGATGCGCATATCGTAAGCTTGTTCCGGTCAGACCCTTTAACTCGGAGTTATGGCCCTTGATTAGTTATGCAGTATGCATATAGTGTAAAAATCGTTTCCGGACTAGTTCTCTGCAACTATGGGCTGAAATTCAACGAAACTTTATGGGAACCTTCAATACCAAGAGGAGATGCGCATATCATCGCCTTGTTCCGGTCAGACACTTTAACTAAGAGTTACGGCTCTTGATTAGTTATGCAGTATGCATATAGAGTAAAAATCGTTTCCGCGCTATGTCTCAGCTACTACTGGCTGGAATTCAACGAAACTTTACGGGAACCTTCAATACCAAGAGGAGATGCGCATATCCTCGCCTTTTTCCGGTCAGACACTTTAACTCAGAGTTATGGCCCTTGATTAGTAATGCAGTATGCATATACAGCAAAAATCGTTTCCGAACTACTTTTCTGCAACAACTGGCTGGAATTCAACAAAACTTTAAGGGAACCTTCAATACATAGAGGAGATGTGCATATGGTCAGCTTGTTCCGGTCAGACACTTTAACTCAGATTTATGGTCCTTGATTAGTTATGCAGTATGCATATAGAACATAATATTCATTTCCGGACTTAAAGTTCTCTGCAACTACTGGCTGGAATTCAATGAAACTTTATGGAACCTTAAATACCAAGAAGAGATGCGTATATCATCGCCTTGTTCCGGTAAGACACTTTAACTTATGTTAAAGTTATGGCTCTTGATTATTTATGCAGTAATTGCAACCAGAGCAATAATCTTTTCCGTGCTACTTCTCTGTAAGTACAGGCTGGAATTCAACGAAACTTTACGGGAACCTTCAATACCAAGAGGTGATGTGCATATAGTCGCCTTGTTCCGGTCAGACACTTTAACTAAGAGTTATGGCCCTTTATTAGTTATGCAGTATGCATATAGAGTAAAAATCGTTTCCGTGTTATGTCTCAGCTTCTACTGGCTGGAATTCAACAAAACTTTACGGGAACCTTCAATACTAAGAGGAGATGCTCATATATATATCCTCGCCTTTTTCCGGTCAGACACTTTAACTCAGAGTTATGGCCCTTGATTAGTTATGCAGTATGCATATACAGCAAAAATCGTTTCCGAACTACTTTTCTGCAACAACTGGCTGGAATTCAACAAAACTTTAAGGGAACCTTCAATACAAAGAGGAGATGCGCATATCGTCAGTTTGTTCCGGTCAGTTACTTAAACTCAGAGTTATGGTCCTTGATTAGTTATGCAGTATGCATATAGAACATAATATTTGTTTCCGGACTAGTTCTCTGCAACTACTGGCTGGAATTCAATGAAACTTTATGGAACCTTAAATACCAAGAGGAGATGCGTATATCATCGCCTTGTTCCTGTCAGACACTTTAACTTATGTTAAAGTTATGGCTCTTGATTATTTATGCAGTATGCAACCAGAGCAATAATCTTTTCAGTGCTACTACTCTGTAAGTACTGGCTGGAATTCAACGAAACTTTACGGGAACCTTCAATACCAAGAGGTGATGTGCATATAGTCGCCTTGTTCCGGTCAGACACTTTAACTCAGAGTTTTGGCCCTTGATTAGTTACGTAGTATGCAGATAGAGCAATATTGCTATTTCTTTGCAACTGCTGTATTGATTTCAACAAAACTTTATGGCAACCATGGATACACAAACGCAATTTACATCTCATTGGCATGTCCAGATATTACTATCTAACACAGAGTTATGACTCTGTTATTGCCCTGAATATTTATCAAGTACAAAGAATATTATTGTTTATGCCATGATAAATATATAAATAAAGCCTTAATATGTCTTCAGTTGTTGTGTTAGTAATAACCAGTACTCGGCGGGGGATATAAATTCAACGAATTTGCATGTATATTTATGCTCTGGACAAAAATTAAGCATGAAAAATAATAACGGGCAACTATAACTGTCACTAAATGTGATTAATACGTACCCCCTCAAGGCTGCTTATGAAATGAAGACGTAACTAGTAAAAGAATACCTTGTAAAAGAATTTGAATAGAGTTATGGTTGTCGGCAATTAAATACAGTTGTGGTTCTTGTATGTTGCATTTCCTTTCACTGTGGTTGACCATTGATGAAGTTCCTTTTAATAACTGTAATAAGTCCAGATAGAGTTATGATTCTTGAGAACTGCTCTTTCTCTAAATGTGCTTGGCCATTGTATGAAGTTTTATTGAATTCCAACTAGTGGTTTTCAAGTTATGCTTCAGACAAGGAAAATGCAACAGAAAAGTAACAAAGGGCAAAAACTTTATAATTACTTTACATAGAGTTACAGTTCTTAGTATGTGCAATGCACTACCTCTTATTGTGCTTGATCATTGTATGAAGTTGTTATGAACTCCAACCAGTAGTTTTTAAGTTATGCTTTGGACAAGGAAAATTTAACAAAGGGCAATAACTCTGTAATTAGTTAAAATGGAGAAATGGTTCTTGTGCACTGCGCTCTAAATGTGCTTGGCCATTGTATGAAGTTTTATTGAATTCCAACTAGTGGTTTTCAAGTTATGCTCCAGACAAGGAAAATTCAACGGAAAAGTAACAAAGGGCAATAACTTTATAATTACTTTACATAGAGTTACAGTTCTTAGTATGTGCAATGCACTACCTCTTATTGTGCTTGACCATTGTA